ACATCCACCCTTATATATATATATATATATATATAAACAATAAATTATTTTCACAGCTATAGTGGCATCGATCCTGAGCTGGAAGAGAAGTTAGATAATATGTTTGGTGTGTCGTGACAACAAGCAATAATGCATGTGCACCTAGTGAGACAGAGTTTGGTGGCATCACTGAAAACTTGCTTGTAGAACAAGGATGTGATTTTAATGAAGGCTCCGACCCGAATCTCCATGAAGTTGAATCCATTAGCAGTCATGCTACTCACTGTTTAGTGAGGTATCTATCTTTATTTTGTAATGTTCTACACTGAATATCTACCTTTAAGTATGGGATGTACTGATATGAAGAGTTCTGTTGCAAACAACATCATAACAACTATTTTCAAATTGCAGAAAACAAACAGACAACCAGTTTATCTATAGTAGCTTCTACGCAGCAGCTTATTAATAAGTTGCAGCTGCACCAAACAAACTCGTCGTTTATCAATAATAATCGTAGTTTGGTTGTAATGACTGTAGTTCTTGGTTATAACAGGCTATAAAAGCCGTAATCGATTGCTATGGAGTCAATAGTCTAAAGTGAATGTTGAAGATGATGGTTGTAGTGTTAGATTGTTGTATAGGCCACAAATGGAACCTAGGATAGCAGTTGGCCATGCGAGTTGTTGATGGTTGCTTCAGGAGCGCCGGTTCGACCCAAAGGTTATGGTATGAAGCTGCAGGAGTTTTGAATCATGTAGGTCATAATTATTTACATAAGCCGTAAAAATGAGCGACAAAAATGTCGGCAGGCCGTAGAGACCGAAGTTGGGAGCTGCTCGACTTGTGGAACACCTAGGCCCCAGGAGTGAGCTATAATGATGTTCATAATCCACAGAAGCCAGGGTTAGAAACTACACGAGTTGCAGACTGCGTAGACCATTATTAATTACATAGGGCATAGTGGTAAGTTGTGATGACACTCGTAAGCCGTAGAGGCTAGAGTCTAGTGCTATATGAGCTTCGAGCCACATAGGCTACAGTGGGTCACATGGGCTGTAACGTTTAACTTTGATGATGTTTATGGATTGCAAAGGACTGAGTCGAGAACTACACGGGCTATGGAACAAGGAGGTCATAGTTGATCACATAGGTCATAGCGATGAGTTGTAATATTGTTTGTATGTCATAGAGGACGTAATCGAGAGTTACATGAGACATGAAATACATAGTTCATAGTTGGTCACATAGGTATTAGTGGTGAATTGTAATGATGATTGTAGGCTACAGACAAAGCCGAAAGCTGCATGAGTTGTGGATCTCATTAGCCGTAATTGGTCATATAAGTAGCAGTGGTGGTCTATGAGAAGAGCACTTTTGACGTCCGAAAAAAGCCATTGTCTTTGGGGTGCATTGTTACTCTATCTTTGGGAGGTATCACTATATTGTGTATGAGGTGTGTTGTTATACCTTCATCGAGGTGTGTCGCTGCACTGTATTTGGGGTGCATTACTACACGATCATTGAGGTACTTCACTATATGATGTACTAGGCGTCATATCTCTCTACCAGATGCTTCACTGTTCTGCAACATATGTTGGGATCTCTCAATGCAAGTTGTGGCTCCACAAGGGATTTTGCTCTAAGAAGCAAGTAGTGGCTGATGTTGATTAACGATGGCTGGCAAGTGGGATTTGACGGCGATTGGCGGCTATAGCCTTGTGGGATCTGCGGTGTAGAAGCAATGTTGAACTTCAACTCCTTCTCGAATGACGGTCAGTGAATATTTGAGTACCTTAAGGATGCTAGAATTGAGTGATATTGGGTTCGTTGAGTTGGTTTTGCCGAGACGCTTGATTTTAGTATAAGCTTGTTAGATTTGAAATTTATTTTACCTTCTAATTATGCACTGAAAACTTTCAAAAGGTGGTTTAATGACTTGATTTATGCTTTATTTGACTCAGATTTTACCAATTTTGGTATCATTGGGTTCGTCTCGCCAAGTCGGCCGGCTTAACTATTATTTTGCTGAAATCAGAGCTCAGAATGATTTTTGATTGAAATTTAAACATTACTTATTAAAAAAATTATGCCGAACACTTAATTTGATTCGTGCAGGATGATGAAATTTTGTTGATGAAGTATCAATACTAAAGTACTTAATTTGAGTCAATTAGACTAGATCAAGATGCTTTTTTAATATTTTTAGGTTCATCTTATCAAAACAAATGTTCCAAGAACAAATTTATTTGAATTCGAGCTCAAAAGATCTCAAAGTTTAAATTCTAAACTTAAATAATAAGAAGCTTTGGGATATAGAAACTACATCAAAATTTATGTTCAATATGATTTATTTTTTTAATGAAGAGTCAATAATATTTTACTTATTACTTTATATTCATCTTCTTAATCTTTAATAGCAATAAATCAAGATGGATTCTTTAGAGTGTAATTATTAATTTAATTTATTATCATCATCATTATCTTCTTTTGCAACGTAATAATATCCAATGTATATTCAAACGTTGACAAAAATTTCACGGTCAAAATTTTTTTGCAGTTAATTATAATTTAAATTATTTTCAAGCAAAAGGGCGGTAAAAGTAGGACAGATGAAAATTTGGTCATCATGTAAAATTAACTACAAAGTTATCTTCACGAGCTAATAAATAAAAAAGGCATTGACATACATATCACCCAATTCCTATTTATTTACATATCAAACATCTAAATATTACATTTTATATTTATATCACCTAAATCTTTAGAAAAAAAGATTACATCAGGACTCCGCACGTAGAGTTACGTGCGGAGTCCAATGAAATCACGTCACATGAGAATATTCCCGATAACACAGGGGAATATTCCTCCCTTGTTATTCATGTGTTATTGTATGTTATTCGTTTGTTATTGTGTTCTGGGAATATTCATGTTATTATAATAACACAATAACGCATTAATAATACTTGAATAACACACAATAACACCTGAATAACACAGAAAAAATATTCTCGTGTTACCAGACGGATTTTTTACTCTCACATTCACGTGTGTGTGTGACGTGATTTACGTGTTTTCATTGGACTTCGCACGTAACTCTACGTCCGGAGTCCTGATGTAATATTTTTTCAAATCTTTAATATCACATCCAAAATATCAATATTTTTATATATATATAATAAAAATTAAAGTTTAAATATTAGTTGTGTAAATACATAAAAATGGGTGACATGCATGTAAATCTTCCAAAATAAAAAAAAAAATTCATATGCTCTCGAGAGAACATATTCACAAATTAGAAATTGCGTTAAAGTCGTCCTTCTGGTTCCCTATGGCATCGGATTCTCTCTCCTCTCAAGTAAATACCGACGTGATTGTGGTTCACCACGTCAGCATTACACCCACATGCAACGGGTAAGGCGGGCCGTGCAGTAACCACAGCGTAGCGAGTGCACGGCGTAACTTTCGTGTGTTGCCCTCAGGTTCTCTCTCTTCTTAAATATCGTTGCCGTCCGCCATTTCAAAGGGTTTAAAACATCAAATCCTCATCGAGCTTACGTCTCTTTGTTGCTGAAAGCATTGAAAGGGAGACTCAAGAGGAACGAGCTCGGATCTTGAAACATGGATTCGTCTCTCCTCGAGGTATGTTTCCGGCCATTGATTGCGCTTTGCCGTTTATTCCGGCTGTTGATGCTGTCAATTAAAGCTAAATATCTCTTGTTATACTTTTGTTCTGTGTTTATAATGTGATTAGGGTTTCACAAAGTCGCTGGCGATGACGGTGTTGTCGGAGATCGGAGACAAGACGTTCTTTGCCGCTGCGGTGGGTGAGCTCGTGCCTCCTCTGTTTATTTTATCAAAAATGTTTTTTGCTTCGGGGCGGATTTTATTCCAGTGATTAATCTATGACAGTAGATAGACTTGAATCTGACTGTCGATATAACCGGGGGGCTCTGCCGTTATCGGTTTTCTTGGGGGCGCGGAATGCTTCGATGTTAGCTTTGTTTGTATTGCTGTGAAGTTTTCTCCAGAAGTAATTTTAGTTGTTTTTATATATTTAAGTTTAGATCTGTTTCTTGTTGCTTCCATTTGTTATGCAATCTGATTAGAGACCTCTTCTTGACATTTTCAGCTAATGATTAGTGATTGATGATCTCTATGTTCAGTTTTGGGATTCTTTTTGGGTGCATAGATTTTGTTTGCTTGTTTGGTGGGTTAGTTGGCTGGCATCAAGTGGACTTAACTAATCTTCGGTAAGTTGAATATGACTTTGATAAACACCTCCATTTCCAACAAATTAGTCTGATGGGATATTAGCCAAACTGATTTGGACATGTGTGCTTCCTACTTTCAGCTCACCATCATATAGTCATCAGTTTCAAATTTCAATTTTTTTCTTGGTTCTCGCTGGTAGCTCGATGTGCTGGACCTGTCAGCTTGATTCTTTCTGATTTACATCTTGCGGCATACTAGAATCTCCATTCGAGCAGTTTTGCCCCCTATCAATTACATCATTTTGGGACCCAATCCCATGAAACTGCTCTCTCAACCTTTGCCCCCTTTGTCATTTTGTTGATTTCTTGACATCCTAGAGTTGTTGGCTTAGTGTCCTCTCCCAGGCAAAGTAATAATCTTGACCTTGTTGATAGCTCCACATTCTAGAGTTGCTATATCGACTCATTTCAGGTGGCTTGGATCTCCCTGCAGTATGTTCAGGCATCCATTTGACCGGTTTTTTCTCAAGACCTCTCTCTATGAGGTTACCTTCCATGCATCCCTCACTTGTGGCACCTCACCAACAGCTCGACATCCTAGAGCTTTCAGCTTAGTGCCATGTTCCAACTGATATAACTGCCAGTCCTTTGCCGATAGCTCCACATCCTAGAGTTTTCGACCTGGTCTATCAACTTCTTTATCAGCTCGACGTTGACTGCTTGGTAATTGCAGGCAACTTGACATTTTTGAGCTGCTGGCTTGTCGGCTTCTTTTCACCAAAGTTAAGAAGGTCGTCCAATTATCTTGACATCCTAGCTTGTCGGCTCAATGTTTTTTAACTATCTTCTTAGCTACTAGTCTTCTCAGCAAATGGCCAAACGGCTTCCTTCTCACTCCCTGACAAGTCAAAGACATTTTGATGATAAATTTTTCTAGGACTTATTGAATACCTTGTCTTCTTTTTTTCTTAACTAGTTTTTTAACTATCTTCTTAGCTTCTAGTCTTCTCAGCAAATTGCCAAACGGCTTCCTTCTCATTCCCTGACAAGTGAAAGACATTTTCATGATAAATTTTTCTAGGACTTATTGAATTATGTTCTTCTTTGCACCTTCTTACTTTTTTGCCTAATTGACACCTTTTTGCAATCATGCACTTTTTCTTCTTGGCATTTGCTGATCATTTAACACTGTAGAGCTATCGACAACCTTGAATATTTCTCTACCTTCTCAACTTTTCAACAAATCGATCCTTACCTTTACCAACAACTTAACAATTTAGAACTGTCAGCTCGACAGTGAAGTCCCAGGCATCAAATTTCTCTACGTTGTCTTTCCTCTGAATAAACTTAGCATCTTAGAGCCAACCAATTGGTTTCAATTATTGACAACATGGCACACGTCATCACTTCAATGAGCCTAACTCATTATCTTCTTTTCGACTTGTTGGCATCCAAAAATTTTCGGTCCGGCCTTACCCTGTTAACATGTCTCATGTGTCTTGCGCCATAGAGTCAACATGTCTAAATCACATTGACAAATCCAATAGAGCTCCTTAGGAAATTTGATTATTCATGCAATAATTTTTAATCATCTGACGGTTGGTGATATAGCCCATAGTTTCAGTAACACACTTGATTTAAATGTATGTACTATTGGTCAAGGTCTCCTATAAGAGTTGGGATGAAGATTGAGGGGGTATATTTATTGCATTGTACTTCCTTCGAGCTTGCATACCATCTTTTTAATGTTTTATAGGACCATTTGTAGATTTATTACTTTTCATATAAATTATTTTGTTTTAAGCAAGACAAGTGTTATTGGGGTTGTTGGAAACAGGAACGAAATATTAGTGAAAATAATTAAAATCAATAATGCCAATGGTTGATGAATGAACTATGAGCCAAAAGAGAAGAGCCACAAAGGTCTTCCTTAAAAAGGACCAACTTGAAGCCTTTTACATTTTGGAGATTGGCGGTATACTTTCTTACTTTTAATTCTCCTTTTGGCATAAAGAATTTGAAACTTTTATCCTACAAGCTTTTATATACTAGAAATGCTTACATTAGAAGAACAAAAAGAGATTTCTAATCACCCACCCTTATCCCATGAATCTAAAAGACATATAGGAGTAGAAACTCTAATTGGGTTGGAATTGTTAATCAAGTGAGTTAGTGCAAGTTCAATCACAATGGGTTAAAAACTTGGGAAGACACTAATTCCAAGGCAGGATCCAAAGTTGGTTTAAAAGTTTTGAATACAAGCCATGTCAGAAATAGTTAGAACTACCAACAATGCATTAGCATGATGATATTTATCTAATAATATTTTTTGTTGTGTTGGGTGCGTCTTAGAGCATTCAAAGAAATATTGTCCAATTATTTTTCAAAAAGAGCAGTAAGGAGAAATGCCATCAAATTCAACTTTTTGTTAGTAGCGATTAGATGTGGAACCAATCTATTCTTTGCTCAATTGGGGAAGAAACATTCAATTTGACTAGTATCCTAGCCACTATCTATATAGCCTTACAATAACAAACTCCCACCATAAGTGATTTATCAAAAATTGAGCCAAGATTATTAAAAATGGATTGATTTAAGTAGTGAAATCTAGTGTCAACATTCTTATGCTATATGAAGAGGAATGAAAAATAAGATAGGTAAGTTGGTTAGACATTCATAATATTTCTCTCAATGGTCTGATAGATCATATATATAAATTTACAGAAACTGATAAGCACCAATTTAGTGTGAAAATAGAGGTAATTTATCTCTGTGCTGTGACAGTCCATAATTTCAATATGTCCAACAGAGACATTAACAGATTATGATACTACTTTTTAAACAAATTTTAATTTCTGATTATTTTGTAAATGAGGATTATGTAAGGTTAGCCTTTCCGCCATCTTCTACAGATGTGAATGAAGCTATGGGGCTGTAGCACCCAGCCATAGCTGCCCATCTAGAGAATAAAACTGGTTTTATGAGGTGGGCCTGTGTTTTCTTTTTTGAGAATCGACATGATTTCATGCCAACTGATATTTCGAAGTGTTTCAATAATGTTACTAAAATTGCATGCTTCTATCTAGTCATTTTTGTTAAATATTTTGGGACACACAATATAGAAGTAATTTTTTGATAAATTTCCCATTGTGGAGACCATGATACATATTTTGGCAAAAAAAAGACGAGAACCTCTCATATAAGGCTCAAAATCTGATTATCTACCCTAATAGTGAATTTGAATTGCATTTATTTAACAGTGAACTTAACAATAATGTTAATTTGTGTGAGTATATTTACAAGTTAGGAATTTGATTGACGGGTCTTTTGTAAGAACAAGCTTTGGTAGAATCTTGAGTTTAAAGTTTTTCTTTTTAACTCATGCTCCAAGTTTTATATGTGGGAAGTATGATTGGTTGCATAGATTGAAAATATATATGCAGTTGAAAATGAGGACATATTGGGGGTTTGTGGTGAAATAACAACATTATTGTGCTACTCTTATTAGTGAAGCCAAAGAGAGTCATTCAACTAAATATAGAAGGCGTTTAAACTGCAGAATAATGTATGAAAATGTAGGTGCAACTTGTATGTGGTGAAATGCTACTACAGGGTTAGTTGTAGAGCTAAGTGCCTGCCATCTTCATGATAGTTTTTACTATAATTATCTAGTCATTACTACAGCATTCTTATTGTATTTGATCTATTGAGTGCTTTGTTTTAATATAAGTTTTGAAGTAGTGTTACTGATTAGTTATACTCATTGGTATAATACTTGTCTGTTTTATGGTATGTAGATGCAAGCAATTTATTGGTCATATACTCATGACATGTTTTGAACTCGCAGTTTAAGCAAAGTTTGAACCGGCTTTGAACAACTAGGTCGGACATGGTTTGAATAAAGTTTTTATGTTGTTCAAGCTAAAATTCGGATAGAAACCAGTTAGTACAAATTTTATTTGTGCCATACTTTAATTTAGTAGTTCGTTGTTAAAAGTGGGGGCATTTTGGTCCAACACAAATTTTTGGGTATTTCCTTAATAAAATAAGCAACAAACATTTTTTGCCATTTTTGAGTTTTATGAAGTCAACTTCCTAATTTTAGTATCTCTAAGGTGCTTTACTGAGGTAATGTTTTGACTGAGACTTTTGTCCTACAAACCATGTTTCATAACAATTGAGCCGTATGTTCTTTTTTTGGGCCTGTAGATTTTTTGACCAGCACAGATGCATTGTGAAGATTGTGTGTAGAATTTATATTTTTAGAGTGCCTATACCGTACTGCACTTTACAAAATTTTCTTCAATGAGTAAACCATGATACTGATTATTTGTTATCTTAGATATTGGCCATGCGTCATCCCCGCAGACTTGTTTTAGGAGGTTGCTTGTCAGCACTTATTGTAAGTCTTATTTCATTTCTATCTCTCGTCCATGCTAATTTTTGTGGGGGCTTGAGAGAAATTTTTATTGCTACTTTGTTTCTTCACAGGTAATGACAATCTTATCAGTTTTTTTTGGTTGGGCTGCCCCTAACCTGGTAAGTAGACTGGTCAGACTTTTGTAACATGGAATGCTCATGTTGAAGTTCAGCACTTCTATTCTTATTGACATTTTGTTGCTTCTTTTCAAATTTTATATTGTTTATTAGGCAACACATTTTTTATTCTTTTTGAACTATATAGATAGCTGTTCCAATTGTTTTTCAACTCCTAAAAAAATGTTTTGTCATCTTCTAGCATGAGTCTATCCTTTATTGGGTATGGTGCGGAAGACTTAAATTTTGATTCCTGTGTTGATCGCTTGCCATGCAAAAATAAGTTATTGCTTTCCTACCTTATCAACATATTCATCTTTCTAATTGTTGGGAATGAAACAAACAATCCCCTTAAACTTTACTAGGGCTTAGTTTCAATTAGAAACTAAACCACGCTACAGAATAGAATCACACAGATTTGAGAAAATCAAAACAAAAATTACAAACAAAGGTGCAACAAAGACAAGTTAAAAATCTTACAAGGATTTAACGTGAAAAAACGTGAGAACAGGAAAAAATCACGGAGCCACACCAAGAAATTGTACTATGAATCCGGAAAATTTTACAGAGAACATACTCAGATTTCCTCTCTATATTCGAAAGAATTTATAGGATTTCGCTCCACTTCTTCCCTCTCGATCTGACAAGTAAAACATGCATGGCAAAATCTCTTCTCTGACTCTTCTCACATTCTTTAGGAAAATATCTAAGAAACTTGTGCACGGGAACTGCACTCTGAAACTTGCAACTTTAGAAAGTTGAAATAAGCCTCTTAGGTCGAATCTTGCAATGAACGCATCAGATGCATAAGTTCCCTAAATTGGGCGCTGGGGTGTCAGCCTCTCGGGAAGAATACACCTGTAAACCGTGGCTTGGGCTTAGGATTGCCCACAGTTAGGCGCATGAGCGCCCCTGGTTGAGCGCAAGGGCGCTGAGTTATTAGGCGCAGGAGCCATCTGGGTGCAGGTGCGTCCATGGATTGGTGTAGGTGTGCCCATGAACGTATGCAAATGCACCCGTAGCTTGGTGCTAAAACGCCAAGCATTCGGTTTCTTGCCCTGCCTGCTGTTATGGCTGTGGTGCTTCTGGTGTTCCAAATCAGGCTCCACAGCAGAACAATCTCTCACTTGGAGACTGAATGCACCCAATACATGTCATCCATATCTAAACCTCCATCTGTACCATCTTTGTAGTCACGTATCGCGGTGTGGCTTAACCCAGGTCTCAACCTTCATAAAATTCAATTGAAGCCAACCATAGCTTCAGTTTCTCATTTGTCACCATCTTTGTCAATGTATTTATAGGATTTTGTATTGCGTGTATCTTCTCCAAGAACAACTGCCCATCTTTTAGGAGAGTGAATAAAATGATATCTCAGCTCAATATGTTTTATCCTAGCATAAAAAACAACATGTTTGTCATGATGAATCACACTCATACTGTCACTTTGAAGCTTCCAATCCCTTGTTCCTTGCGCAAATTTGTCATAAAACTCTGTAGCCAAATTATCTCCTTGCTAGCCTTAGTGATAACAATATAATCAGCCTCCGTAGTTAAAAGTGCAATGATCTTCTACAACCTGGAAACCCAACTCATCGCTCTGTCTCCCAAATTGAAGATATATCTTGTTGTACTTCTACTATCCATATTTTCTACCAGATTTGAATCTATAAATTCCTGTAAATTGATCCCCACACTTCCATAGCAAAATGTTCTGTTGACTATTCCCCTAAAGTACATGAGAATCCACTTTACCGCCTTCCAATAATGTCTGCCTGGATTTTCCATGCCCCTGTTGAGTACTTACACTGCATATGTAATATCTAGTATGGTACAAATCATTGCATACATCAAAATTTCAACTGCTGAAGCATACGAAGCTCTCTACATCCGTACATGCTCTGCTTCAGAGTTAGTTGATAGCTCCTTAGATAGGTTGAAGTGACTACCTATGAGAGTGCTAACAAATTTTGCTTCACTAATGTTGAATCTCTGTAGGATTTTCTCAACATACTCTGCCTGAGACAATTTCAGTGTTCCTGAACTCTTATTTTTGCTGATTCTCATTTCGAGGATCTTTTTGGTTAGATCTAAATCCTTCAATTCAAACTAACTTGATAATTTTCATTTAAGTCCATGATTTTTTCCATATCCGTTCTTGCAATTAGGATGTCATTAACATATAGAATAAGCAAAATATAACAATTATCGGAGTGTTTGATGAACCAACATTGGTTTGCTTGACTCTTCAAGTACTTACTGTCTGACATAAATGTGTTAAACCTCTTTTACCATTGTCTTGAGGTGTGCTTCAAACCTATATGCTCTTCTTTAATCTGCAGACCAAACTTTTTTTACTTGGAAACTTGTAACCCTGTAGTTGCACCAATAGTTCCTTCAAACTTCAATGTAATAAATATGTTTTTACATCCATCGGCTCCAGATGTAGATCTTCCTCTGCTTTCAAACTCAGTACAACTTTGACGGTTGTCATCTTCACCTATGGGGAAAAAATATCTATTTATTCTACTCTTTCCTTTTGCTTAAAATTCTTCATTACAAATTTTGCGTTGTAGCGTCTGCTATCATCTGACAACTTTTTCAGCCTATAGACCAATTTGTTGTATAGTGCTCTTTTGCCTTTTGATAATACAATCAAATCCCAAGTCTGATTTGACTCTAAAGAATCTATGACACGCTCCCACTTCTTTGAATCTTTAACTTTAGTGATCACCTCAAAGCACTCTAGTTCACCACTATCAGTTAATAGTAAATAGTGTAACGAAGGAAAATACCTCTATACAGGTCATATCACTCTGTTGGATCCCCTGGCTTCAGTAGCAGGTGATTGGAAACGTTTAGTACTTTTTATGGTTGAGCACTATTTCTTTTTTTACTCTCATGATCATCAGTGTCTTTTATCTCAACATACTCGGACTTCAAAAGTAGCTGACGGGCTGTCTCGAGTTCTGAGCTTGTTCTTGTACATCTCTATTTCATTAAAAGTAGCATCCATGCTCATGACAAATTTCTGATTCTGATAATCCCAAAACTTGTATTCAAATTCATCTAAGTCATATTTAATAAATGTGCACTTAATAGATTTCAAGTCAAGCTTGTTTTTGGAACCTGCATCAACATGCATATATGAGAACACCCTAATGCTCTTGAATGAGATAGATTTACTTTCTTATTACTCTAGACTTGTTCAAGTAAGCTTTCCCAAAATGTATTGAATGTCACAACCCAACTCGATGCAACCTGTCATATTGAGGCTGGTCACCTCGTGTCAAAGTCATAACAGATAAATTATTATCTAAGATCTATTTGGAAAGAATCTTATTTACTTAATTTTTTCTTCAAAATTCATACACAGAACAACTAATATCATCAAGTATTGTAGAATAAAGATACCCAAAATTCATTCAAATCATATCACTATACAACAAAAAGAGATATATAGAACAATCATATTTTAATCTCTCTGTCAGCAAAATATAAACATCACCATGAGAGCAATGATAGTCTACTTATACACAATGTTGAAAACAATATTTGAGAAAAGTGAAAATCAGATCAAAGTTAGAGTTGTTTGATCAAGAACTCCCCATTATTTTAGAGTCATCATTTCTGATTTCTTGGTAATTCCATCCAATTGCAAATACAATTTCTGTGGATATAAATAATTGTCAATTTGCGTTTTCTTCGAGTCATTTATGACTTATATTCAAGTCATTAAAGATATGTATACTAGAGCTGTTACTTGTGTTCAAACTGAAGGAGGATTGACAAAAATATTTTCCTTTTTCTGTTGGATTACATCAGGGATCGACTTTAAGCCCATATCTTTTTGCTTTAGTTATGAATGGTCTTACTGGACATCTGCAGGAGGATGTACCTTGGTTTGTGCTTTTTGCTTATGATATCCTTCTTGTGGATAAAACGAGAGAAAAAAAACGAGAGAAACTTGAATTATGGAGGTCTACATTGGAGTCTAAAGGCCTTCGTTTAAGTAGAACTAAAACTGAATACATGGAATGTAATTTTAGTAGTAATAGCTCTAGTGACAGAAGTGTGACTTTGGGTGATC